TGAGAAAGAAATTTGGAGTGGGAGAGCATTTATTTTTAATTTTTTTCCCAATATGGGTTGTCCGGATTGGAGGCCAGAGAAGGGCCCATGAAAATATTTTGGCCCATTCGTAATGGTATTGGCTACCTAACTTGTATCACCAAGAAGGCAAGAACTGTGAAGATACCACAGTTTACAACCAAAAGATAGCCAATGTCAAAATCAAAACCACTAAAACTTGTAGGAACACAAAGAAATTGCATTTTTAACCACCAAATGGGTTACCCGACAGTTTTGCCTGCCTATAAATTCCACAGCAAAACATTCATATTGCTACCGGATTTGCCAATTTCCTCGGAAATGAGTCCACCTCTACCATCACGTATCTCCTTACCTCGTACCTTATCAATGACTACTTTTGCCTCCCCCTTAAATACCATCTCCATCAGACCCTTCAAAGATCACCATTTTATTGCATCCCGGAGAGCCATCAATTCGATTATATAGCTAGGGTCTTAGACACCTACAAATTGGAAGCCCGACAAAGAACGCACTACCCATACTGTCTATACATTTAATCAGTCAGCTCCGAGTACGAAAACACTCCACCATCTATTTTCAAAGAATTTTATATTCAAATCATTAATAAAGTGTTAATATATTGATATATTTGAAGTATTATTAAATATATAGACTATAAAATTTTAGACAAATATATACATCCAGGTCAAAATACTACAACACCTCTTTTTTAATTCAATATATACATCTACATCATGAAGAAAGTAACAAAATTAAAAAGCTCAGTAAAACAATTTATTATCAATTTTATAAATAAAATTATATAGATTCACTTAGTATTTTAAATTTTATTTATAAAATAAAAAATAAAAGCAATTGTATTCCCCTCCCAACTCAACCCTTAAGTTTTCTCGAATGACATCATAGTACTCCACCTTACGGTCTTACTGTTTTTCATCATCTTCCCATTTGTTCTAACCATCGATCGTCAATTCTTCATTCTATTACAACAAATGGGTATCTTGTATAAAATTTCAAAATTCAAATAAGGACATTCTTCTATCAATCCAAACAATCTCTAAATCGGTGCTAACCTCCTCATCGAATCTATCTCTTTCAATCTAGTAATCAGCTTTTAATCCGGTTGTGCTCCCACCACATGTAAAGAGTCTAAATTCTAAATACTCTTAGTAGATCGTGAGTGACAGACGGATAATTCAACTGCTAATCTTAAAAAGAGCTTGTATTATCAGTAATTAATGTTCATCTTTACTCTCACCTATCATATGTATGTCTTTCTCTTGTGAAACAACCACTCGTTTTCTTTCAGTCACATCTATTAATTCCCAAATCTTTTTCGAATTCTTCCAAGTACGGATTTTTTTTGCTCTAAAGTAGGAGCACCAACCCATGTCCTTCGAATTGTGTGGCTTAAGGATTACTTAATGCTAGATAATAATGTAAATAAATTTAATAGAAATGAAAAAAGTTTAAATCGCATGGCTATTCACATTTAGGTAAATAAGTTTCTACCGGTTCATAACAGTTAATATAAAAGAGGGTTATAGGTATAATATGCTCTTCTACTATGACGTTTTATCAAACATGCCCATCTACTATTTTTTACATCAAACATGCCCTTGTACTTTGTAAAAATGATCAAACATGCCATTTTGTTAAAATTTTCATTCAAAAACCATTAACCAAGACCGAACTTTGGTTTGGGCGACACAAATGTCTAAAATATCTCTAATAATTTCACTTTAGAATTAATTTTGGTTCTTTTGTATAGCCAAATCATTCGAATAATTTCACTTTGAAGACGCCTAGAGGAATAAAACGGGGGACAAAACTATCATTTTCCCTCCCATTTGCCGATGTCGGGTCGTCTAAATATCGGTTCAACCATGATTGATGATTGTTTCAATCGAAATTTTAACAGAAGGACATGTTCGATAATGTTTTCAAAGTATAGGGGCATGTTTTGATGTAAAAAAATAGTAGATGGGCATGTTTAAAAGAACGTTATAGTAGAGAGGCATATTATACCTATAACCTTATAAAAGACACTCAATAAATGCACTTATTACTCGAATTTGGCTGCCAGGTGAAATAATATATTTCAATCAACTACAACTAAAAGCCACAAATTGTGAAAGCATACTGGAGGTTATAAAAAAAAGTAATTTGTTGAGTATTTTGTACTAAAATCATAATTCACCGTAGTTCAAGTGTTTCCTACTGCTAAAACCCCATATTGGTTGAGTCGGGTATCCAATATTCTGGTACAATCGGACTATACGATAGTGTTTCTAAAATATTGCTAATTGCACAAATAATAAGTTCACTTATTGTTTGGCCTGATAAGCAAAAGCCTGACCCGGTCCAAACTCCGATAAAACAGGACAAAAAATAAATCTCAATTGCTCACTCATGACCCTAACGGCCTAACCTGTCAAATAAAAGCACAACCCATGTAAAACCTGTTATATTTCATCTTGTTGACCACGCAGTCCAAGCCACCAGTTTTCTGCACACAATACATACATAAACTATTAATTGTTCAGACTTAGTAGAGAGGTGGTGAAAGTAAAATGTGAGGACAATGTGAGGACCAAACTACTGGTTCTCTATTTTTAGATCTCAATCCATGTAATTCTTGTATGGTACCATAACATTAGGGCATCAATAATTTTCGGGGCACTGAAATGAGAAGTCCTGAGAATAAAATATATCTAAGTTTTAGTTGAAGCAGTTCATATATATATATATATGGTGGTGTATTCGGTGCACCCACTTTTTCGGGTGCACTCAGTGCACCCGTCTCATAATTGTCATTCTGACCATGCGATTCATGTCAAAACGGTATCAATTGTTGCTTATGATATTATGAACAAGAAGCACATGAATTTGAAAAAAATTCATTCAAAATTTACTTTAAGTTGAAGGATTTAGGATTTAGAGATTTAGGGTTAGGGTTTCGGTTTACAATTTGGGATTTTGGGTTGGAATTCAAAATTGAAGGTTAAGGGGTTAGGGCAATGGATTGATTTGTTATGATTATATGTCATATCATCATATTATATTGAGAGTACTAATTAAAGTTCAAAATTTGATGTATTATGGACGCTTTAAGAGTTGGGTGCACTCAGTGCACCCAAAAAAGTGAGTGCACCGAAGTAGCCACCATATATATATATATATATATATTAGCAGGAGGAATAATTAGTAAAAAGAGTCGGTGGAACCTTTGATCATTGGCAGTAACCTCCGAAGGTTCCAAATTTGCATTAAGTCTGGTAGCGCTTGAAATGAAAAATAATACTCCTACGTAATACATTAAGATATTATCTCTTTAAAAGAACAAGTTACAAGTTTACTGTTTGGTAGAGTCACATCCCGCCACTGTTACTTTTTTGCTTTTTCCTTGTTCTCATCATTTCTCAATTGGCTTTACGTTTTGTAGTTGGTCCTGTCACTTTCAACACTTTCTCTCTTATCCTTGAGTTTACTGTTTCATAGAGTCACATCACACTAGGTACTATTTCGTAATTAACCAAACCTTGAGATTCTAAGTAAGGGATGATCATTTCCGTAATTAAACAAAAATCAGCTCCTTTTTTTGTTGCCTTTTCCTCTTCCACTCTTCCCAGCCACACAAAATCAGCTCCTTTTATCAAGCATCTCTCTCATTCCACCCACCCACCCACCCTCCTTTCCTTTCTCGGCTGGAGAAGAAGGAAATAGTGTCAAAGAATCCAGAGAAGAAGATGAGGAGGAAGAGTGGACCTCATCAAGATGAAGGATAGTAGGGTCAAAGTTGGGTGCGGATCGGCGATAGGGACGTGACGCTCAGATGCAGCGGCGGTGGTGCATGAGTGGTGGTCCGTCAGCGACAATGGGGACGAGGCGAGTGGCGGCGTTTGAGCTGAGCGACGGTGGTTGGGCTGCGCTGGTGCGTGGGTTGTGGTCCGTCACCGGTGATGGGTGGAGGTGCGACGATGGTCTGGTGGTGTTGTGGTGCCCGCGGTTCGGTTCGACGAGCTTTGGTCCGCCTGCGGCTATGGGAGGAGGCGCGACGGTGGTCTGGTGGTGTTGCGGTGCCTGCGGTCCGACGACGAGGCTGGAAGAAGCGGTTGTGATCGTCGACAGTGACGCAGGATTTGAGAGGTTTACAACCGCTTGATTTGGGAGGTTTAGCGGTGGTGCCGGGTTTGGATATCAGGTGATGGGTTTCTTTCTCCGATTAGTTTGTTTACTCTCTTTTCTTTCATGTTTTAGTTCTCATTCTTCCTTTTCCAGGGGGGTTTATTCGTCCACTCTCAATGAAAGAGCTCTCTCTGTTGGAGGGAAGTATGAATGGGAGGCGATGTGGAGTACCCATATCTGCTGAAGTTTTTTAGACCATCTGGAAATCGAGCCTTTTGTCGTTCCAGTTTTAGGTTAGGTGTTGTTCTTTGCGTATTTCATTGTTGTACTTTCATTTATGTTCCTTTCGGCTGATCAAGCTTTAGTGATGTTATTGTTTGGCCTATTTTGCTTGCTGCCGACCGCAGGAGAAGAGGGAAGCAGCAAAGGAAAATGTGAGTTGGGTTACTCTATGATGGGAAGTGTGATTGTGCCCTACCGCCTATGAATCGATCCATGGAAAGAGTTGGACGACCCACCGACACTGTCGACGGTAAATTGCTGGTTGTAACATGTTCAGTTTTTACACTACACTCTATTTGTACTTATTCTTTGGTTCTTTTGGGGTTTTGGGTTTTCGTTTTTTATATGCAGTTGGTTCTGATTGTGTTTGTTCTTTGGTTCTTTTTAAGGTTTTTAGTTTTTGGACTGCCGTTGATTTTGATTGTATTCTTTTTTTGGGTTTTAATTTATGCCATGGAGTTTGTTTTGATTGGTTAGATGATTGATTTTGTGTTCCAACTCTCATCCTGTCTCTTTATTTCTCTGGCATCTCAGAATGCTATTTGATGGAAAAAAACTAGGACAGCTGGTTTTCTCAATGAATTCATCGGCCTCGAAACCACGTCGGCAGCAAGCATGCCCATAGGTGGATTGTCCGCGATGATTCTACAGCGGTCATTTTCAAAGACCCTCTGCAGACCTTGCTCCCAATCCAATTTGCTCTTATCCCCGACTCGCTTACTTTTTTGGTTCTCAACCACAAATCTGTTCATTTTGCTGCATGTCCCCCCAAATCTCACTTACTGAGTGCAAGGTAACTTCTTTTTTATGTTGGTTCAAGATTAATATGGTTTCTGCTTATATCTCTAAAGCTGGGACTGGGTTTTCATGGAAGCCTTTCAGGTCGCTTGGTAGGTTTGTGAAGCTCTCCCTTACCTCTGCCATAACGTTGTGGTAGGAAGGAATTATATTTGGGTTTAATTAGTATGTTTATGTGGTTTTTGAGTTTATTCATGTCAGCTTATTTGTGAACCAGCTTGGACTTGTGGTATACCACAGTGGTGATTATGATGGTTTGATGGCTGAAGCAACTGGGTACAGTAGTTATTTTTCTCAAACTTTCATCACTTGACCTACAATTTTTCATCGTAAAATGGTTTTATTGAGTTTTTCGAATTATTTCAGAATTTAGTAAAAAGCCTTGCTTCATGAATGAATCGGAGAAAACAACACTGAGTTTATTTTTCTTGACAATATATGGATTCGTTTTTTTTTAGATGCAAGATCACCTTATAGTTCTGCAGCAATCTGTAAGTGTCATGAAGTTTCGCTTTAGCTAATACAAACTTACATCTGCTTTACATATGCATTTTCCTGTTCATAGGGTGCATTCTGAAAACTATAGATACTAACAAGTAATTTTGTTCAATTGCAGTCATTGTTTCATCATGGATGATGTTGTTCTTTGTGTTATTGAGTTCATTTTTTTACTTATTAAGATCTTTTCCCCCCCCCCCCCCCTTTTCTCTGTTTCTTCTTGCCACAGTAAAGGAGCAGCCCTTAAAGAGGAGTTTGGGGAAGGAAGTTGCTTCCTGCTAAGGTGAAGTCACACTTTTTGTTTAATACTTTCAAATTTCAATTCCACTTTCTCCATCATATGATGGAATTAGGTAGCAGCAAGCTCTGGTGCATTTTCTATTGTCAATTCTCATCATGTTTCATGTCGTGAGTAGGTTACTCTAATTTACACGTCCAGTTGTTTGCTTTTCATGTTATGAGGTGTTGTTGTTAAACTTGTGGTGGTATCTTACACCACTCACACGAGAACTTACATTCCTTTATTCCATCATAAATCATTTATGGTCTACGATGTTCATTGATGTTTTGGATTTTGTTTCCTATAAATCATAAATCATCGCTTTTTCTTCGGACTGAAATGGAATCTAGGACTAAGTATACAACTAACAATAGCAGTATTGGGAAACCGTTCAGTTCCGGTTTATATTTTTTCCTTTATATCGTTCGAGATGCTATATTGTTTTTGTTTTCGGCTCGACATGCTTCGATTATCGGAACATGCTCTTCAGTTCAGGGTTGGATATTTATACTGGTAGTTGTGCCGTGTTCTTTTGCCTATCGGTTCTCTTTCTCTTCCTTTTCATGGATTAGTAGATTTTCTTATGGTTTAGATCTCTCCTTTTGGTTAAGATTGTCTGTGTTGTACTTTGTTGATTTGCACAACGCATGTCTTATTACTGTTTACTTTCGTCTGCGTCTACTCAGATGCGTTGTACAGCAACCATGAAGTGTAGAAACGAATCCAAGAGATTATGGTGAAGGTCCACAGGGTCAATTATTCTTTCTTCGGACTAGGTTGAACTGATGAACAAGGTAAGCCGCAAAGGTTTCCTCTCTTAATCTTTTACTGAAATACTATAAACGAAAAACTACTTCTACATTGATTCAATCTTACTCATCCGTCTGCGTTCATCTTTTCTTTCAATCTATCACCAACCTATTCTCTCCCCCCTGAAGTGGCCAAAACCGGTATGACTTTACTTGCAGACTATGAGTTGTAATAAAATCACTTTCTTGATTGGAATCCTGAGTTCCCGGTTATTCGCATACCATTTGCGCCCACTGTCGGGGGAATACTGGGTTTTCATCCCTTCGTCGATTTGCTGCTATTTGAATGGGTGATTCGGTCCAAACCACTACTCTCCATTCCCTTTCAGCGCCTGCTCTCTACCACCTCCGAAGATCCTTTGCATATTGTATTGTTGAGAATCAACGATTCAGCTTGCACATTAATATATCAAGTAGATATGGTTTAACTTCATTAGTTTTTGACAACATCATGTTGCAATACCTCAAATTTCATTTTGTAATTTCTTCTGTTTGTTTTATTTTATCTTCTGTATGTTAGTGGTTCACTGGGTATAGTAAGCTCCTTATTAGTTGATTTAGACATCTATATCTAGAACATTGACTGCCAAGCTCTTAAAAGAGGGTATGCTGGTTGCATGACAGGAGCTGTTTAAGTGGTGGTTGCTAGCAATGAAAATTCTGTATAATTTTTATTTTAATTTTTAGACTTGGGTGTATATACTTACGTTTTTACTCTTTTTTGGATTTGGTACTGAACGACTCTCTCAAATTTCCTTTTGCAGAAAATGCTCCATGACAACATCCTCTCTTGAATGCCCCAGCTTGGTCATTACAACCGAGTTCCGTGCCCTCTAAGGTGGCGCTTGGGAGCAACGTGACAGATCACACTCCTGTAAAAGCTGAGGTGATTACTGATTCAGGTGTTACACGGACAACTCTCAACCATTGTTTGGTTCAAATGTTGGGCTTGCAGTTACTTTGCTTAGTTTTTCGTCATGCCTTTGCCTCAGAGCCTTTACTAATACCCCTGGGATGTTATTCACTTTTGTATTGGTGTTTCGTTTTTTTACATAGCCTAGCCATTGTGTTTCCCTTATTTAATTCATAAGTGGTTAGAGAAATTTCTCTTCTCTTTGCAATTTTTCCTCATGCCTCTTGGATGTTCTTCGATTGAGGTTTGGCCTCTACATTTATGTGAGGTTTACAATTCAATTCAGATTGGGTATACTGTTGCTTTACATGTGCTCTTTTCCCTACTTGATTTAGTCTTAGACGTGGGTAGAATTAGGATTGGCAATGAGTTTTGTCTCATACATGTTCACTTTGAAATTAGTGTTCACCTTTAATATTGAGTTTACTGTTCGGTTACTTATTACAGTTACATTTCTTTGCCTACCATCATGTCTCTCCCTCATAATCTTTGCTTTTTTCAACTAGCTGTTCGCTTTGTTGGAACCAAACAAGAATGTCACAACAGCCTTTAGATTATATCATATTGGTTAGTTGCTTTGCAACAAAAATACCTTCTGCCAAGCATACCTCATATTAATAGATCATAGTTATGCAGACTTTGGGAACACTTTTTACATGAAATGGTGAGGCAATGCTCTAATTTCTATATAAAATTGCTGTAAATCCATCTCTCAGGGAAACTTACTGGCTATGATTGCCTCTTTTCTCTTACTAAAGTGACCAACTACTTACAGCAACTCAGGTCTCACAGTATGGTTTGTTCTTCTAAAAGAAGATAGTATAGTTTGTTGACTGTGATTATTTTCTTTTTCTGCAGGTGATTTTGTAGCTGTGGTGGAGAATGCCAAAAGGTGAATGGTAGTAAGAAGAATATGTGGTTCTGAATTAGTTTCTTTGCTGAGTTTCTTGGATTAGTTTCTTTGCTTTTCTTTACTCCTCTTTATGTGGTTCTGAACTTGACAGGGTAGAAACAACCAAGGAAGCTTTGCAATAGAGAAGCCTGACCTGTGAGTCAGAGCAAATGAGGTTGCACATTAATCTCATCGACATGACATCAGGGCATCTCAAGTGGTGGTTTGTTTACTATTTAATGTCCTCATTTTTTAACGTGAACTATCTGGACTTACCATTTGCCGAACCTTCAAGTTTTTGTGCGGTTCTTAGAGAAATTGCAGTAGATACACAAACCCCACAACCCTTAGACGTGCCAAATTCATGGTTTTCTCCATATCCACCATTTCGTTAATCGCCATTTCTGTTGCCTCTCTACCCTGCTTATTGTTGTGTCCTACAATCCAATCACTACAATATTGCACATTGAATTTCACTGCTGTTGTAATCTTGCATCCTTTTTTAAATGTGAATAAGGTCATTTCTATTTTATGCATGGTTTATATTGTAAGTCCATGACCCGTTTGGTTGTGGTTGACTATAGAACTGCGTTTTACTATTTGTTCAGATATGATATGGTTGCAACCTGCTGTAATGATCCTTCATTTGCCATCATAAACTCGACCAATACTGGCTCTTTCGGATTTCAGCTCTACCAATCCATAACCTCCCTCAGTAAGTTCCTATCTAATCAATCCCGACTCTTTCCTTTAATCGTCCTCTCATCTTGATATCTTTTATTCTCCATATGGCACTAATTATCGTTATCATCTTTTGTTTCGTAGTCTGGGACTTGTGGTATATATGCTTTATCGCTTTGTTTATTAAAACAAACATACAAAACCATAGAGCTCCGAACTGCGGTTGTGTCGCATTTTTAAAACAAAATACATGTTTTACTACCTTCTCCCTGAAAGATGTTGTATGATACAAATGCTTTCTCAATGCTCTTACGTTTGCCTCTTCCATTTCCCTAGCCCCTTAGAATTACGATCATCTTTGCTGTGCTCCTTTCATCCTTGATAATTGGTTAGGCACTTTGGATCGGGGATAATTGGTTCGACCTTGCTGTTTCTTTGTTAGTTAATTCTTGCTTTCATGATCCCGTTGTTGCCATCTCTGTTTGCCATTTGTTGTAACTATATACCCTTTTTTACTCAAATTTCCTACTTGCAAACGCGCGAGTTTGAAATAGGCTGATGATCAATAATGTTTACCTGTATCACTGAGAAGGATAGATTTGTATTTCAGAATATTTTGCGGCATTATTTTTTACGGTGGACGTTTGGAGGTGCAACCAAGCTTAAAATGCTTATCATTCTTTGATTGCCATCAGTTTTCGGACAAAGTATACATGCACTGAACCTGGCTTGATTTAGGATTTCCTTATTCTAAATTTTTGTATTTTTTTTTTCAACAGTCCAAATTGTTATCTTTCTTCCTTTCTCTACTCTGATCTTTCTGTTTTTGTTTTAGTTGGTCTTTCCATCCATTTGTTAAATCACTTGAATCCTATTTGCTTCTTCAAGAAATCCTACTCTATTTTGCAGTTCCTCGAGTACAATCAGAGTATATCTCATTCCCAAAATGCGTCTATTAAGAATCGAACATGCCTGGAATTGCAAACTTCCTAATTTTCATATGGTTCTTCCCTGCTTTTACTTTAACGAGTCCCAAAATATAAAGGCCATAAAGTTGGCAATTCCTTCTTAATTTAGTTCGTATGTGTTTTCTTCAATAACCTTGCTTTGTTTTGTTTATTATGTATGACTTCCATTTGTTGAGCATTTTATTAGGGAGTGCAGTGGGAGATATGATTCTACCTATTGCATCGAAAGGTCTTACTACCTCAGGTGGAAGGTATCTAACCTTCAT